TTTACAGGTCAAATGGGAAAAATATGTTCTCCTCTCCTGGAACTTCGGTTCCTGGTCGCAAGATAAAGACTGCTGTTAGACGCAGAAAATAAAGATGATAATGATGTTATACACAACAGTTTTAACAGCTGGTGCCCATCATTTAGATAATGGATTGTACTACATGCTGGGCTTATCCGAAATCAGATCTGCCTAAGGACTTAATTTTGAAATTTTCCTTCTCTCTCTTTATGGAATCCCTTCCCTGTCTCTTCTACCCCCTTTTAAAAAAAAAAAAAATAATAGCTAGACTGGTGACTGACTCTTCAGCAAAAATATTTTATGGTCCAGCACATTATTCACTGATTTGGTGTAGTCTGGCTGTACCCAGGAATGGGGCCTGCACAGCGAATGGCTTTGTATAGAACCTCTTTGTCTACACCGCTATGTGTGTTGATAAGCGTTTATGGAACGCGTTGAAATTGTAATTATATCTGAGGAATTCTGTATAGATTAGAATTCTGTATAGACTAGAGGACATTGAAATGAATGATTTCTATGCCAAGTTTGTGCTGGTGTGTGTGAAGTGAGTGAGTTGGGTATATTGTGCACTAAGATTTTCTGATAGAGAAAGCCTGATCAAAGAATTGGTCCATGCTAAGGACTTGTTAGATCTAGTTCATTCTCCATTTAACAATTATATGCTATTTCTATATTTTCATTCTTCTATCACCTGTCTTGCCTTTTTCATTATTTTATTATACAACTTCTGTAAATACAGTTTTGTTTCTGTACTTTTTGGCATAACATAAATCTGTGAACTTGAAATTTTATTTTGTGTTAGACATTTTTTTGTTGTTGTTTAGTCTTGTCTCAGATTTTATTACGTAAATCCCATTATTCAAAGTTGCCTAAATCCATTTGGAAATCTTTAAAAAAAATTGGGGTATCTTAAAAGTTGAATTTATTGGCTTTTCTGATCCAGTTTTGTTTGGACCAAAAACCAGTATTGTACAAAGTATTAAGTATATATTTTTATATTTACTGAAATGGACTGTGGTGACTTTGGATAATAAGGAAATGTTTAATATTAAAGCCATGTTTATTACAGTATAATTAACATGTTAAACCATGGGATAAATGCCATCAATAAAAATTTATGAAGCACTTTTTGTTATAGTTTTAACTCATAATAAAGGTGCACAGTAACAGTGGTCAGTTAGAAATCCCAAAGAGTACATACGAGTGATTAGGTGACCCCTGAGGGAAGGGGAAAGTGTCTGAATTCGCAGCATACGGGAAGTATACTGCTGCTTGCCTGGTGCTAGAATTCTTGCCTAATTTGCACATAGAACTACATAACTTTTTTAAAAGTTGAAAATAAACACACGTAACCATTTCTGTTTGTATTTGTATATTCCTTGATGGATGCCTAGATGGTGTTTCTTGAGTTCTTAGGTATATTTAAAGCATTTTAAAGTATGGCAGTGGTCTTTTTATATAATTTTAAAATTTTACTTTTTTCCTTTTATGTAATTTTTTTTTTTTAATGTGATTTCTTTTGGATTATTGCCGCCTTTGCACCTTTAAGAAGTGCTCTTGGAGTAGCACTTGATAATGTCTTCAATCTAAGTGTAGTTATTTGTGCTCATTTTTAATTTTTTAAGCTTCTGGTTGGTTGGAATCTAAATTTAGAACTTTTAAAATAGTCTTTATTAGTGTTACATGCTTGACTCTTAACCAGCTCAAGGTTAATAGTAAATAAATGGAGGTGGTGAATGCTGGAAATCCATCACTGCTGGGAGTTAACATCTAACTTTGCCAGTTGGGTCTTAACCATTCTCTCGGCTCATATGCAGTACAGTTTGGTTCACAAACGAAAGTGGCAAAATTCTGCTCCTGATCTCTGCATTGGGTGACAAACATGACCACAGCCATATCCTCCATGCAAACACAAATGTAGCCATCTTCCCCCAAATCGTAAAACAAATTAAGTTCATAAATGGAGGCACTACTTTAATTAGGAATGTTAGGCTTTCTACTTTCCTCTAAAAATGTGGTAGAAATGAACTTACCTCCATTTAATATTTCTGTTTTAGCCACATCTTACTTTTCTTGTGAGACAAAATAGCCAACACTCAAAAGTTAAAAGGGGTTGATTTTAGCTCACCGTGTATAGAGGTTTCAGTCCATAGTTGACTGGCTCCATGGCATTGTGGCGTGGCAGAGGCCATCCAGTCCACGGCAGCAAAAGCAAGGAAGCTTGCAAGGAAGCAAGCAGCAACAGCGGACCTCTTTCTGTCCCTAATGTTTGGGGACATATTCTTCCCATTGTTTACACAGGAAATTTGTCAAACTAATTGGCAAACTGACTTAGTAATCAGCCTTAACCCCAGCATCATGTGGGATGCAGCCACGTCTAAGTCTCACTGACTGCATGAAGCTTTGGGGTCACAACCAAACTGAGCCATAAGACCAAGGTATTGCAAACCACACTTAAAGCTGGTTTATGTTGAAATTTTTGGTTCTCTAAGATGTGATTTCCTGAGAAATCTGTATTGTTGGATCAACTGTTCTAATCCTTGGGCTGCATGTGGCAGCTCCAGCCTTAAACCTGTGCATCATCAGACCCAGCAGAAAGGTGTCCTTATTTGATTGAGGCTGCAAAAAAAAAAAAAATTTTTTTTTTTTTTTGCAGAACCGGGGATTGAACTCGGGTCCTTGCGCTTGCCAGGGAAACACTTACTCTACTGAGCCATCTCCCCGACCCCAACAAAAACATTTCTGATCCACTCCCACTATTACATGCATATTCTACTCCCAAGTGAAAATTGGTTTCCTTGTGGATGGAGAGGAAGCGTGTTAGTAAACAGTAAAAGCCCACTTCCTGTGCTTGGCCAATGAAACTTTTAATAGAAAAGAATCTCAGGAGGGAGGGGAGTTGTGCATATAGAGTGAGTCATCAGCTGTACTTAGGTAAGTTTGGGTTGGCTGAGTATGTTCTCAAGATTACTTGGTATAGTGTGTTGAATTTAGGACTTTATCATTGGGTCTGGATAGGATTTCAAAATCTCCATCAAGAAAGCACCTGTCTGGAAGGCTGCTGTCACATAAAGGTCCTGGGATATCACTAAGAAACATGCTAGGTTGTTTGTAGTTACAGCTTGAGGCATTGAGAAAAGTGTAGTTCAGACATACTGAAACTTGTCTTTCAAGCTGTGTATTAATATTTAAAATTCTCTCCTGAAACTGTTTATGTATTCTATTACCTGAAATAAAATGTTAGATTAATTTTTACAACTCATAACTGGGCCTTTGAACTTTCTGATTTAGCCTGTGGAGAACTTGTGTTTGTGTTCTAACTCTGTTAGCAAATCCTTTTCTGGTTGTTTATAAAGTTTGACATTCAGTGCAGATTTTATAAAGGCTAGCCTTTGTATTTAGTGAATGATACTTGATGTAGTTAACGTTGAGGGAAGTGAGAGTTGGGCCAAACCAGTGTAGCACAGTGGTAGCAATTTTTTCTAAATGAAACAGCATTCAAAATTTCAGCGTTGGCGCCTCTCCATAAGTGGGTTTGGGTACTTGTGCCTGAAGGGTTCACCATCACTGCTCTAGCATACAAGTTAGTCTTCATTTCCTTGTTACAGGTCAGCTATCAGAGGCTTTTCACAAGCCCTATGTACTTCCAAAATGGACTGTATATAGCGAGTTTCTTAGGAGCACACTGTCTAGAGGATGCAAGACCATGCTCTACTTTTGCTGCAATGACGTATACCCCTTTTGACCTTCCCCGGGGAGCCAACTGTAAAGGTTACAATGGGAAAAGGTCAGAACTGAGTTTAAGTGGTCCATCTGTCCAATACCTTGTGTGGTGGTCCTGATGGCCAGCACCTCTAACGACTAGATTAGCTCAGTACTCAGTTAATATCCAGGGAAATGGTGACTCAGTGAAAGGACACATCCCTAAAAGTATGTTTTCGTAGGCTTGCATTTCTTAGAGCAATCTAGTTCACTATTATTGCCACTAGAAAAGCTCTATCTAGAAGCAAGGTCTCCCTTCCAAAGCCTCTCAAAACCCCTGAAAGAACAACCACATGCATTTGTACTTAAGTATTTATTGAGACAAAGTACAAATTGGCAGCATACAAATTGTTAGAAACAAAAGAGTGAATTTTATTTGTAAGTGGGCCATCAGATACTGTTTTGCAGGTCTAGAGCTCCTACAATGAGCTGCAAGGAAATACACATACTGCTTGAAATGAGGACATTTCCTCATATAAGCACACGTGGTAAGAGTTTGGCATTGGAGATGAGGAATGGCGAGAAATTGAAATATCAGGTTTTGGGAATACTATTTGTGCATATTCTTTAAAACAGGGACAAATAGAGTCAAGATGTAATATGCCCTATTTCAAAAGCTCTTTATTCCTATGAAGTTAATAATTAAAAAATTTCAACTTGTGCAAGGGCCCGAGTTCAAGCCCTGGTTCCGCCAAAAAAAAAAATTTTCAACTTCTATTTTACTTTGCTTTACTGGAAATAGTTTGCATAAGTAAAACACTCATCCCTTTAAATTTCCAGTTGAAATAAGCTTTACCATAATTTAAGACATTAAAAACACGGAAATTTGTTTTTGTTATTTATATGAACTGACCCTCAAATACAATGTCTTTTTGTAAAGAATCCTAAATACTTCAGTAAAGAGCCGAACCAGTCCTAGGGAAGTATCTTGGGCTACTTTTTAATATAATACTGGCAAGTGATGGCTTACTATCCAAATGTTTCGGCTTTATTGTTAGGCTCTCCATAGCATCCCCCAAAGCCAAGGCTTGCCATCACTCTCACTTACTTGGGGCCCAGCTTCTGGCTTCAACAGGATCAGCCAATATGCCAGACTTCTGAAGGGGGCATGGGCCACTTCAGTGTGTGTTCAGAGATGGGTAGTTTCTGGTTGCCCCCATTCACTGCTAGTTTTTGAACTGAGTGGTAATATAGCAATAAGATGATAAATTTTCTCATCATTCAGTCAGTCCTAAGATCTTAGCTTAGAATGTGCTTACAGAAATTGTGTTCTCAGCTCTAATCCTAATACTTTTAGGTTTCTGTTGTGAAGGCAATGCAATACTTTACATACCCTTTATAGGGTTATATAGGTATATAACTGACCACAGTTGCATCTAGGTATAACTCATGTATGGCAAATTATAATACTTTCTGTATAAGAAACATGACTTTTTTTTTGGTAACCCAGAATGGGCAATTATGTATCTTATTTGAGCAGCAATTTCAAAGAAGTACTTCAAAGCTATAAAGACTGAATGACATTTTAACTTGAATTCCCTACTCAGTGGCAAAGTAGTATATAGTGCTAGTAGACTGAGTACTAAATTTATAATATTTCCCAATTTTAAATAGAACTAAACAATTTTTCATTTTACTGGTAAGAGGCGTAAACTAAAACTTCCCAGAGGCTTCAAGTGGATGTCTGTTTAGTACTCTGACATATTTAACTGATAAGCTTCCTGGATTTGATATATTTTGAACAACCTAAAAAAGTTATTGTAAGCACACTGTTAGTGTGTAGAAACATTAAATGTATTTTCACAGTTTTAAATAACATGTCTTACCTCTCCAATTAATTTAAAAGCAAGAGAAATCTCATGCTCTCAAGCAATCTGATAATTGTGCAAATCAGTTTAGTGCCTCCAAGAAAATGGCAGAGTTGGACAAAATGACAAAGGAATAAAACAAACTGTACATACATAGTGCAGGGGTACCTTAGAGCTAACTGGGTCACATAACAAAAGCGCTCCCTGCCCTGTAGTGTTTCATAAGAAGAGTGGCAATATACACAGGATTTTTCTTCTTTTCCCCAAGACTTCATCTCTTACAGGCCCAAATGACCCTAAAGAAGCTACATCAGTGTGTGGAAATGATACTGTCTATATCTTTGGAAAGAACAGTTAATAGTGGGAAAACTGCTAATGTCTTTTAGGCTACTAGTATTAAGGTTATTCATGAAATAGTTAACTTCTGATGGTTCAAGTATCATGGAACTATATAAAACATAAAAGGAAAGTAACAACTGAGTATACAGTATAGAAATACAATTAATAACCGTATTTCAAAACACTGAAAAGCACTAACACTTTCTTCATGCTGCATATACAGAGAATGTTTTATAGTAATTACACAATGGATTGGAGGAAGTATTTCTCCACGTATTTGTTCTCCCTAAAGTTTGATTTTAGGGCATTAAAATTCCCTATTATAAGCCATCACTAAATTTTTCTTTTAAAAGATTTCAATGATAATACAGCAATACAATATTTTTAATCATTTTGGAAGAGTTGCCCAAAATACATGCTGAAGCATTTTAAGTAGTGGTGCAGTTAC